GAATGGCTTGCCGCCGCCGTGATTCCTTTCATCAAAGTTTCCATGCGAGTGGTGGCGTAATGTTCATTTTCTTTCGAGAAACACTAAACCGTCGCCTTTACAGCTGTGACGGAATGAGGTCATTTCAGCTGTTAGCGTCGGGCAGCTTCATTGCGTTTCCCAGGAATTGTCTTACGCTTGCCTGTTCCGTCATGAAGGTTCAAAAGGAAGTGCTTGTAACTTAATGTGGTGAGCTCGCCTTAACAGAAGTGATGAATGTGCAGCGTTACCATGTGTGACGCTTACCCTTTTGATTCTGTCTTTCAGAAAATGGCAGTTAATGTGTATTCTACTTCAGTGACTAGCGATAACTTGAGTCGACATGACATGCTTGCGTGGATCAATGAGTCTCTGCAGCTGACCCTGACAAAGATTGAACAGTTATGCTCCGGTAAGAGGTCTAATGGCGAAAGGAGTTCTAAATTTGATTTTCCCTCTCTCTTTATAGAGACAAAACTGCAATGTAAGCCATCTATGCTGACCCTCTATAGCAATGTTGTTGGCTAAACTGCTGTTAATAGATTCACGGTCAAGTTAATTTAGCATTTTTGCATTATAATTTGGTTGTGATTTGAGTTTTATTTAAATTATTTTTAGCAATCTAAGCATGATGGAAAGATTTATTCTTCTTCTGACACACTGCAATATAAAAGGAATAAGAAGGAGTGGAGGTTAATGTGACAAAAAGATTCTTGCGGTAGGGTGTTTTCCAAGGGAAGCTAAGTATTTAGCCTTGATGGTAGTGTGCAAATCTTCCAAGTGTAGTAACTAGCATAAACAAATGGTCTTATGGAAGAGAAGAGAACGCCTGGGACGTTTGGGAGGTGGCTAAAGATTCAGATGGGGCAGGAGGAGAGATGTGAGGAAGATGCTGTTAACTCTCTTGGGCTCACCTTCAGACCTTTACAACCCTGATGGTAAAGGGGCATCTCCATCTGTGTAACTCCCAGTCACTTCGGCTTGAGTTGACTTTAGCAAGGCTGAATCTCAAATAGACCTGTGGGCAGAAAAGGAGAAGTGATTAAGGTACAGAAATGAAGTCACATCTCGCTCAGAGGAGTGTGTGCATGGGGGAGGAGGGTTGTAGAAATGAAGGAGAAATAATAGTGTGCGGAGTAAGAGCTGGAAATGAAACCAAAGCTAAGAACGTGGCTCGTGTAAAGATGATGATTTGGATAAGTGCCACAGAAATGGAAAGGGATTCGGTGAAAACTCGAAGTTAAGCTCATATGGTGAACTTGAGAGAAGATGTTGCTCTCACAATGGGAGATGTGGAAGCTGCAAATAAAAGGGGGGAAGAAGTGAAAAAATACGTTTGGAGCTGTCAGTACAGCCTGTGGCCGAGTCTGTGGAAGAAACATTCACAAGGATAACGGAGAAGTAGGGAACTTAGAATAGAACTTGTATTGTTCTGACAAGTACTGGTAGCAGCTTTTTGTCTAGTGAAATGACAAAGTCAGCAAGATGCATGAACTAAAGATCTAGAATGACAGAAGTAAGAGAAATGGTAAGCGTTGTCTGCTTTCAGATAGGCAGGTTTAAAATAAGAACGCAGATCTAGCCTTAGTTTATGTGACTGGGGAATTTTGCTTAGAATTGGTGCAAGCCTTGAATGCTGTGGGGCTCTGTCTCTGAGAAGCGAGGACGCTAATACTGGCTGTGCCGCATCTCAGCTAACCTGTTTTCAGCAAAAGGCTGAGAGTTTATGATGCAGTATGTACTGAATAACATCCCTTGTCTGTGTCTGCCAGAGTCCCAAACAGCCTGCAAATACCTTGATAGGAAGTGGACAGTGCAGGACTTCCCATTACCTGGGGCTGGCATGAATATACTAGCTTAGGCCTATATTGTAAC